CGGGCAGACTAGTGTTTGGTAGCATGAAGCACCAAAAACCATAGCGCACAGCAAATGTCAGCTGTGGAGTCCGTGCTTAAAAACAGTCACATGAACAAGAGTTGGAAGCGTAAGCGCCAAATCAATGTACGTGCCCTAATTAATGCAGTGCAGGAGTGGAGACAGGGAAAAACCCGCTCACTCCGCAGCCCGAGTCACTATGGAATTAGGTGTAAAACAGCTTGCCATAGGAATTTACTCTAGATATGTGAGCGTACCCACTGATTTGTTCCAGCCAGTGGAGTCCGTGCTTAAAAACAGTCACATGAACAAGAGTTGGAAGCGTAAGCGCCAAATCAATGTACGTGCCTTAATTAATGCAGTGCAGGAGTAGAGACAGGAAAAACCCTGCTCACTCTGCAGCCCGAGTCACTATAGCATTAGGTGTAATACAGCTTGTCATAGGAATTTACTCTAGATATGTGAGCTCGCCCACTGATTTGTTCCAGCTCAAATCATCAGCGGAGCTGAAAGAAAAATTAACAGCCGAGCAGACTAATGCTTGGTACCATGAAGCGCCAAGACCATAATGCATGACAAACATCCGCTGCAGGACTCCTAGAGTCTGCGCCTAAAAGCAGTACACATAGCATGAAATGCCAAGACCATGGTGCACAACAAAATATCTGCTGCAGGACTCAGAGTCTGCGTCTAAAAATAGTACATGAACAAGAGTTGGAAGCATAAGCGCCAAATCAAATGAACGTGACTGCATCAGTGCAGCGCAGCAGGTAACGTTAGAGAGAGAGAGGAAAAACTGCCAGCTCACTGTTATAGCTTGCTATAAGAATACTCTGAAACACGTGAGCTCTTCCACTTGTTTCAGCTCGACGCAGCAACAGAGCTGAAATAAGTAGTCGGGCAACTAATGCTTGGTAGCTCGAAGCGCCAAAAACATAGTGCACAAATAACTTCTGCTGCATGACTCCTCAGAGTCTGTGTCTAAAAACAGTACACGAACAAGAGTTGGAAGCATAAGCGCCAAATCAAATGAACGTGTCTGCATTAGTACAGCGCAGCTGGTAACGTTAGAGAGAGGGGGAAAACCACCTGCTCACTGTTATAGCTTGCTATAAGAAGTACTCTGAAACACGTGAGCTCTTCCACTTATTTGTTTCAGCTCAATGCAGCAGCGGAGCTGAAATAAATAGTAATTAGTCGGGCAAACTAATGCTTGGTAGCTCGAGGCGCCAAAAACATAGTGCACAAATAACTTCTGCTGCACGACTCCTCAGAGTATGCGTCTAAAAACAGTACAAGAACAAGAGTTGTAAGCATAAGTGCCAAATCAAATGAACGTGTCTGCATTAGTGCAGAGCAGCAGTAGAGAGAGAGAGTGGGGAAAAACCGCCTGCTCACTGTTATAGCTTGTTATAAGAAATACAATGAAACACAATAAGCTCTTCCACTTATTTGTTTCAGCTCAATACAGCAGCGGAGCTGAAAGAAATAGTAATTAGTCGGGCAAACTAATGTTTGGTAGCTCGAAGCGCCAAAAACCATAGTGCACGACTTAACGTCCTAAAATCAGTGCCTCTCATGTTGTTTAATAAACTTGAGAAACACTTGATCCAGGGAGGGAGTAGAGCAATGGGGATTTTCTATCAGTAAGCTAGCCCCTTAACCCATAGTTTATATCTACAGCTTGTGTCGCCTGCGAGCTCGAGAGCCCGAGGCTGCTGTAGAGTATACTTCATCTAATCCGCAGCCGAAAGAATCGATTACTTGCTTCCGGAGCGGGAATCAGATTTGACTAACCACCTGACTCACGAGGCGCTCTTCTGATGAACCACGCGGTCCGGGGAAGAGAGCGAGAGAGAAGGGGATTAATACCGTTCTCTCACTCTCTGTACACTCGGGCTCATCGCCGTCACCCCAAGCGTCGAGCTCGTGCGGCGCGTCGTTTGGCATGGCAGAATGCGAGCAGCGCTTCCTTTATTATCACTATAAGCTGACATCTCAGTTCATTGCGATCTCATAAAGCTCTGTTATAACACAATGAGCATATTCACAAAGAATCTTTCACAATGTCTACACTTCGTGTGTTGAAATGAGACGATTCGTGAGCACGCAATTTCAGCACTGCGGTGAGTGGATTCTAACTTAATAACCTCTGGTTGGCCATTGCATTCCAGAAATCAACAGCTGAGTCTGTGATTGGCTACATTGCGCAACCCTTTAAACACGTGTTATAAATAGAAACTCTGCCTAGCTTGCGCGTGTTAATCATTTTAATGTTATTAGTTGTTCTTTTTGCTTTTGTGCAACACATAAATAACAATTGATATGTTTTAGACATTTTATGTTTAGATCTATTCTATTGTATTTTGTGGGAGTCCCGCGAATCATTTTATTCTCTCGCATCCTGCACACACACGTGTCTCTTCCCGCCCGCACCCGCACTCGCCCATCAAGAGTTGTCCCGCGCCGCACCCTGTTGCGTTGGGTCCTGTGGTACTCCCGCGGGAGTGCAGGTCTCTAACTCGGACCACTAGTGGGGGCCACCTAGTGGCGGCGGGGCCCTAAGCAGCCACTTAGTTCGCTAATAGCAGTGATGGGCAAACTTGGCCCTTCCAGGCCACTTTCTTGCAGAGACTAAACTCTGAAGGAAAGTGACCTGGAAGGGTCAAGTTTGTCCACCCCTGGCTTATAGGGAGGGCCGGCTCTGCCTGAGAAAACATTTTTGCAGTGCTATGTTATTTACCAAGAAATTCTATTTAAAAATCAATAAAAAAAAATCTCACGCAGAGGAGTTCAATTCTTTATAATATAATATAATATAATATAATATAAAAAAAAACTAACATTTTCAATAAATATTTTCTATAAACGTGAACATGTGAATTCTTTTAGTTATCTAAACATCCCCATGTAGTAGAGTTTGCACACTACTGTAAATGTCTCGGAGTTTTGTTACCGTTCTGTGCCCATCATCCGCTATTTGCACCACTTAATCAAACCACTCTTCTTTAAGCATGATGACTGTTTTATTTCACGTCACTGCGTTCACGTTGGCTCTCGTGTTGAGCTATTTCGTCCGCAACCATTGCAGTATTCGATTTCTACAGCAACGGATTTAGCGCACATCATTCTCTTTCTATGAAACCTGTAAACCACATTTACCAGTTCTTTCTCTATAGCGACACCAACTCTATAGTGGTTTGCCTGAGCATTGCAATTATTTCGCACTTAATTAGACTTCAATCTCATGGCTTTCCCAACTTATTTTTGCATATGTCCTGGGTTGGGAACCTAATCATGCCAATGATTAGATCATACCTGCAGCTCATTTACTCTCCCCTATTTCTACACTAGTGTTTGTAGTCATTCTTTGTCAGATTGTTGTTCTCATGTCCTGTCGTGTTCTGTTCTGTTCAAGTTTTGTGTTCCTCATTCATGTTTTGGATTACCTGCTTGTATTCACTGTTCCTGGATTTCTTTGAGGCTTCAAAGTCTGCTGTCTGCTTCCCCAAAAATTGCAATTTGTACTAGCTGCCAAAAACTGTTACTTCATCATCAATCCTCTACAATTGTCACTATCACCAGCTAGAGTGCCCATGAGCTCCTCCAGAGGGCACACCACTCTAGACTATTTCTCCCTCACAAACTACATCCATTATTATCCTTTGCAAGGACTCATTATGCTGCGTTCAAGTCCTCCTGGGACGTTCGTACTTACGAGTTGACAAGTAATTACGACGTCAGGTGCGTTCAAGTCAGTCTAGTTGGCACAAGATGGCGGTGTACCTAATTTTAATAAATTAATAAAGAAAATACAACAGGGTCTGTTAACTCTGCTTATAGAAAATGAAGCGCAAAGAATTCGCATCAGGTGTGTTTTGCGTTTTTAATATTTTTAAAACATGCAACATGGCAAATCAAAAAAAATTTCACCTATAGGTGCAAAAATTATAGCATTTTTTTTACTTGGATTTCATTAACTAGATGCGTAACAAGAACATGACCAATTTAAGTTTATAGGACAACTAAACTATCAATTTAAACAAAAATTTACCGTCAACTACAGACCTTGCATCCATCGATTCCGCCATGTTTGTCATTGACACGCCCCCAACTCGGAAACTCGGGGCTTAAAGAAAATTTCGAGTTTCCCACTCGTAATAACGACTTTGTGGTGGCGTTCATGTGCGTTCAACTCGTAAATACGATCTATCCGACATGACTTGAACGCACCTTTAGACCTGATTGTTCCCACCTGTTACTGGTTACCTCTTTCGTCTCTACCTATATATACCCTGTTCCCTCATTCGGTAGTGATGGGAAACCGAGGTTTTCTGAACCGTTTGAGGCTTTCATCAAATTGCGCCGAAAAACGGTTTTTCTTTTTTTTCTTTTTTGCGCCGAAAACTTTTTTTTCTGTGGATGTTTCGATGAATTTTCGGATGCATGCTGTTAATGGGCCTTGCGGTGAAGTTTTGAAGACGTTTATTATTCATAAAAATAAATAGTTTGCTTTAATTCCCTCTGTTATATGCATTGTTTGTGTGTTAATATTAACTTGTAGTTTAGTTATTTTAATCCCATTTGTCATCATTGAGATAATTGTGTGTGGCTTCATCTCTTGTCGAGACATATAAGGATTCAGAGAGGTGACACATTACCTGAGCTGCAGCAGTGCAACAAGTGTTACAGCAATTTTCTGCTTGACCAGCATGTTTAAGCCAGCCAAACTGGTCAAATTAAAAAGTCATCTTCAAATCCACTTCAACAAGGCAGTGTCTGTGGAGATATGAATATCTTGAGTTGTTTGTTTAATATATGTACTCACAATATATTATTGCCTAACAGTTTACCTGTATACTTTATTTATTTTAGGCTATACTATACGTTTTTGCAGCCAATTATTGGTGTGATTATTTAGCTGTTAAATAAGGAACAAGGAAGGTTTTTTTGTGCCATTTACAAGGAGAATATTCTTATTTTTTGTTGTTTTCCAGTACCTCTTGTCTTGGGTGCACCCTTTGATTTTACATCTGTAAGTAGTTATCAGTTAAAGTAATTGACCTTTATGATGTTGTAGCAGTTGATATTTAAAGATTTCTCTATGTTTGTGTCTTCCAGTGTGACATTCCAATCATACGGAGATGGTGGACTCCAGATGGTTTTCTCTGAAAGGTACTGGACATTTCCTCCAGCACACCATTACATTTGCACCCCCTTCTGACCAATTTGAAATTAACCAAGATGCATGTATATTACAGTGCAGAAACCCTACAAGAGGCCCTTCCAAGTGGATAACAGGCTACGCTTGTGAGGTATGTCTCAAATCTATCTATCTATCTATCTATCTAT